CTCCATCTCAAGTGATCTTCCCACCTCGGCCTCCCAAAGTCCTGGGGTTACAGGCATAAGCCACCGCCTGTGGCCGCTTTTTTGGTTACATCGTAGCCTTTCTTTCTGTGTTTGGTGCGGATTGTCGGGGCGGGCGGGGTGGGAGTTGCTGTTGCTGGTTGTTTAGCTCCTCTGCTCATCGTGAGCTCTTCCATATACGTGTCCATGGTGGGACTGAAAATTCCTCTAGAAAATACTTCAACTATTGTGGGTAAGAGGTTTTCTGGTCCAGTTTTTAAAAATACATAAACTGAGAAGTTACTTTATCTATTTAAATAATACTTCAAAGTGAGTTTTATTCAGTGTTTAATAAGACTTTGAAATTCACTCATTTCTCAAGCCTGTAATCCCAGCACTTTGGGAGGCCGAGATGGGCGGATAACAAGGTCAGGAGATCGAGACCATCCTGGCTAACACGGTAAACCCAGGAGGCGGAGCTTGCAGTGTCGAGCCTGAGACTCCGGCCACGCCTGGCAACTCCAGCCTGGGCGACAAGAGCGACGACCTCATCTCAAAAAAAAAAAAACAAAAACAACAAGACAATTCAGCTCATATTCTGAGGGCTCTCCTAAAGTGAAACTCTGTTTTTCTCCTGTCAGTTGCAATGCTGCCTTAGTCACACGGTCTGAGCCCCCAGAATTGTTTGATTTAGCGTCTGGGCAGCGTCTTCCCCGCGTTCTGACACAGGCACTGAAGCACGCCCCACGCCGCTGCGTGACCTACGGCCAGGCAGCAGGCGCGCCGGCGCCCGCTGCGAGCACCAATGCAGCTCGCTGCCGCCCAGCGCCCGTCACCGCGGCAGAGCGGCCTGCGGCTCGCTGCTCTGGGCTGCCCCAAGCGCCGAGGAGCACGCCGGCGCACGCTCTCTCTCCTGCCTCCCGCGCACGCGTGGCCGCCTTCGCGGAACGGACAGGACGACGGGCATCGCGTCCGGTGCTGGGCAGCGCGGATGGCGTTTCCACTCAAATTAGGCCAAGCACCTTTCTATTTCAGTTTTCAGCGGCAAACCCTGACCCCCATCGAACCATAAGTCGAAGGTTGTCAATTCGTGAGTGATCTTCTGGTGCCCAGGGCTTGATGACTGCTGGAGGTTGGAGTCAGCGCCTTAAACTACCCAGCCGGTTACTGGCGCAGAGGGATCCAGGTATCGGCCTTGGAGGGCCGGCACCACACGCGACCCTGGTGGTGCTCTGAGATCCGGCACAATACCACACTGCACAGCGGCCGTGACAGCAATTACACTGAAAACAGTAACAACTGCAACTTGTACTCATATCGCAACCGTATCTCCTTCTAAAAAATTCTTTTATGTGCTAATTTCAAAACAATTACTCCCGAGATATCGGATTTAATTGTGCAATCTGCATGGTTGTCTGTTCTCAGTGGAAGTTAACAGCGTAAGCTGTCCGCATCAGTAGACGCCCATTCCGGTCACCCTCCCGGGCACGAAAAGGATCGCTTGGTGCGCCCTTGGCGGCACTCCGGCAGCAGGAACGCTCCTGCCTCAGATCGAGATCTCCTTTTCGCTGCTCTGAGTGTCATCGCAGCCAATGTACGCTGCAGACGGCTGCACTCTTTCCTGCGTTGCTTGGGACGCAAGGATCTCATTCGGATTCAGCTCACACTGAATGTGTGTCTTTGTTGACTTGGTTTTTATTCTTGGGAAGCATTTTCCCATTTATAGGTGCAGTGGGCTGGGTTGTTAGTTCATTCTCGCCC